CAGAAATGCATATACAAATAAAGAAAATTTAAAAATAGGGAAGAGAAGTTGCACAGCTGACAAATAAAAAATGCGAAGGACCTACCTTCTATTAGGGTCAAAGACCTATAGCATGCGATCCCAAACGTTTTCATTTCGCTGCGCACTTACCGGCTCAGTATATTGTCACGGCGCTCTAGTCAAAAATTACACTTCAATTACCTACCTCCAGTTACCTACACTTAACCAGCGCATAAATTAATTGGTTATAATTTCCTTCTTAGTCTTCTTCTTCTTATTTGGCACTACAACCGTCTGTCATAATCTATATTACAAAAGTACTTACTCCTTCAGTACTTTGTATTATATTCCAGATTTTTATTTGCTGTCTCACCTCCGCGCCCCCGAATTCCACAAGCTTCTCCTGTCAAAACTTGGCACTACTCATTCCAAGTTCCAAGTTTTTCCCCCCTAAGCCAGTCCGCTCTGGATCCTGCGGGGTGGGCGATAAGTCATTATCCTTCGTAAAAGTCCAACCTGGAGGCATGGAAATTACAGTAAATTGACTCAAACTTATTTTTAAATGTTTGCAAATACTAAACCCGGCTCACTTTTCCATTTATTTGTAGGATCAGTCATACGTAATGCTGGGAACAAAATACCATTCGGTCATCAGTCACGTTTCGCATAGGCAAGAAATAAAAATAAAAACAATCAATATTGGAGACTTTCTTTAGTGGGACAAGCGATATGCGATAATGAGTGACTCATTTCCGGGTGTTACTATGTATCTTATCTATGAGTGATATGCACTTGGATTATCTTATTTGTCGCATAACAAATACAATAAATGCGTTCAAGCTTGGCCAATAGAACGAATATATAAGCCATTCTTTTTTAAGTCGGACGGATTTCGTAAAAAAAATTATGTCATGTCTCCGATTCGCTTCAAATTTTTTTTTGTGGGTTCTATACATGAAATAAGCTAACACGTATTCGAGGAGTTTTTTCTTCTTTTTTTTTCTTCGGAGATATGGTCTGTCAAAGTTTGCATTTTTTCGTGGTTCTGACTAATCATGCACTCCTTCAAATCGTTATATTTTGGATTCTGTTGATCGTAGAGTCTTTATCTTAACGTCATTTTAAAACTAAGAAACGGGCTTAAGATTTCCATATATATATAAGACGGTCAAGACTGTGGTAAAACTAACTTAGCTATTAACAGTTGAACTTTTTGAAGTTGATTTGCATAGTGAAGACCAGTTAATAACGGATTTAAAATTATACCATCGTAATCCTTGTTTAATTCTCTATAAAAACCGTGGTTCGAAAAAATGGGGGTTTTTCTAGAACTATTTTTAAAATATTTTTCTTTGTGACGAGATGGTTTATTTTATGAGAATCAAAAATTTTTTGTAATTTTTTTTCGAAAACTTATACTAAGATATATTTGGTAAGGTGTTAAACATCGGGTTTTTGCAAGAATTTAAATTGTATTGCAGATTCCGATAGAATACCAATCCAGATATAATATTTGTATGTCAACATTTTTCTTTAAGGCGACAAACCCCAAGAAATGGGCGTGGCAATTGCAGAACTAAAATTAGCAAAAGGCAGATTTTATTGCGGATTTCGACAGAATATCGCTTCGTTAACAATATTTGTTGCAATCAAAAGTGTGACACCAAATTTAGTGTCCGATATGAAAAGGAATGGCTCACATAGGCACGTATGGTTGGAGATAGTTTTCCGCAATTTCACATAGAAGTACATATGTATGTATATGCATACATGTCTGTGCCCGTCAATTAAAGTAGCTTAAGTGACTTTAGAAAGTTTGACTTTGAATTAAAAAATTACACTATGCGACAGTCAAAATCGGGATGGGATGAAACCAACGGGAAATGTTATATCGGTCAAAAACAAGTTATACGTGTCCCGGCGTTTCGCTGGGTCACGTCTAGGAATCGAGATATATATATAACTATCATATAGGGGAAATTGTCACCTTTGGTGGTCTTTTTTTGACATAACTCGAGAACCACTAGTCCGATTTTGCTCAAACAAATTTAAAATTACAATTCCTTTAATCTGTTCATATAACGTTTTTCTATATAATCAACAGTTTTGCCGGTAAAAATAAATGTATGAAGAAAAAAAATATTTTTTGCCTAAAATATTAAGTTTTTTTAAAACTGTTAATTTTTTTAAATTTGTTTGAGCAAAATAGTGGTTCTCGAGTTATGTCAAAAAAAGACCACCAAAGGCGACAATTTCCCCTATATGATAGTTATATATATATCTCGATTCCTAGACGAGACCCAGCGAAACGCCGGGACACGTATAACTTCTTTTTTACCGATATAACTTTCCCCGGTAGTTTGAACCCTTCCCGATCACTGACCCCTACCATTTATCTCACAGTGTTATCAGCTTCAGATTAAAAAACAAAAACAAAAAAATGGAGCAAGAAAAGCCAAAAACGGCAGTAGTTGGAAGTGAGTAGTAAAATTCTGATCATAAACCTCCAAAATGTTACTTATGTATGTATGTAAGTGTACGTAACTAAAAATAAGCTGTTATCCAATTTGAAGCCGTTCACTCTTGCTAGGCACTTACAACATATTTAATACTCCAAAGACTTGCACGCATTTAATGTTTAATGGCAAAATAGCAAATAATATTCAAATATTCGCATATTAGTGACCAAATTAGATTGTCTTCCAGAACATTTAACCAATTCAATGCATTTTATGTGCATATATGTATGTACATATGTATAAGCTTCAGATATAAATAGATGCGTGTATGTGTAACTTCAAATGATAAGTAAGACAACGGTCATAATACAACATTGTATAACGTCCCAATAGGAATTCGAAGCCTTCTTCAATGTGGATTCATACTCGTTAAATGAAAACTTGTATGAAGCTTATAAATTTAAAGCATTAAGGGAAGCTCAGAATCGCAATGGCGCCAGCAGTAAAGAAATGTTTTGGCACTTTCTAAATGTCTACTTGATACTAGTAATATGAGTTGCAAGTTGCTTCAAAAGTCCGTTTTTGAAAGAAGCGAAATCGATTTTTCTGTGATTTTTGTTTTTAGTGCATTCGTGATTGAATGATTACTTGTTGCAAATCGAATCGAATCAAATTACAAATTTTGAATTATCTAACCTCCGCAGGGCTATACTCTGTCAATGCTATTCGTGCATAGAACTCTATTCCAATTGCAACTCGCAGTAGTCTAAATAAAAGCAACTTTAAGAATGTTCTATATGCGTACTTTCGTAAGCGACATTTTTTTCAAAATTTTCTTTTTGATGCAGAAATATTCCTAGAGCATCCTAGATGCATTTCTACATCAAAAATAAAATTTTGAAAAAAAAAATTCGCCTATATATGTTATATAATTATGAGTTTCGCTATCTAAATAACAAATCTCTTATTGTACTAATAATTTTGCAATAAATGAAATGAAATTAATATAATTACATTGCATATATTTTTTTTATAAAGGAGCATCAGTTCCAGTGGTGCCGTTTAGTTCTTGGCTAGGTGTCTAGATTTGGCTACCACCGACTTATTCTGGCCACTTAAATTTAAAATTGCCACTAGCCCACAGTGAAACTTGCACACACAGAGTGAAAAACTTGCTTACGTGTGTAGAAAAACTCACGCCGGCAATATTAGGTTGAGCTGTTAATCATCTATTGTCTTTACTTCCAAGAATAGAAAGCATCAGAATAAATTCAGAACCAGTATGAACAAAAAAATTTCATTGAAGATGTCACAGCCTCCATCGAAACTGGTTTGTCTCCAAATCAAATTAGACAGTATGATCTCTGGATGATTGGTTTATAGAGAAAGATTTTGAACTTCCGCAGAATAATGCTACAAGCCCTAAACTAACTAACCTACTCAAATAAAGCTCAACTCGGATTCCATAACTAGCACGATGGATGTTATATCAAGTAATTTGGACTCTTATCATAGGCTTTAGATTAACATTTTTTTCGACGAGGCGCACTTTTTCAGATTAGGACCAATAATAAAATTAAATCGAGATTGGCCATGGCCATTTTCAGCGCTCAGGGTCATATGCTCATTGTTTAATCAAAAGTAGTTTATAAGAACATTTGGTGCTCGTAAAAAAGAGCTACCAAGACATTTCATACTAAATATACATACCGCAAAACAAAAAAAAAGCATTGCTCATTGCTCAATCTTCCACACAAATATTGAAGCTTCATCAAACCATTAAGCTGTCCAAGATTTAACCCCCAAAAAGCATGCTTCTTCATCGTTTCACACCATAAAGGACATTTGCTGTAAACAGAACAACCCAAACTAATGCGAAAATAAAAGAAGACAATAAAAAACAAAAACGAACAAACAAAAACACAATGAAAACGCGCCAAAGCAACCCTCCCACAGCGCTAAAGATCGACTGGGTAGCATGCGACATGGAAGTAGAAGAAGTCATCATTTTTCTGGTCCATCAAATCGCTTAGTTCGGCTATTAGTTATGAAGTGTAGCGGGCCGTAAAAAAGAAGAACCCTTGCTTTGAATGCCAACTGGTGAATGGGTAAACACTTGGCTTGTACTTTGTATGTGGAAGTAGTACATATTTATGTACATCTGGCACTTGCTTTTTGGCTGTGCGCTCAACTATTTCAATTTCACTTTTACTTGCCAAAAAGTATGCCTCCTTCACCAACTCGTGTTTTCCTCTACTCGCTTTTCGTAATATACATAAGTATGTATTTACATTTTAGGTTTTTTTTTTACTTTAAAAATATTGAAAAATATATACTTAGAAATCTAGTGAATATGAAAATATTGCCTGCCACTTTACTTAGTACCTCTACTGCTTCACTTCACTTCACTTCACTTCACTTCACAACAAAAAATCATGCTTCGTTAGTCTGCTGCGATTTGCTGTGTGGAAGTCAAAAGTGTCCGCTAAACGTTTGGGATTTGCAGCTGCTTATCCTTTTACTTACATAGCTTGGCGTGATTGTGTGTTGACTGACGCTCAGTTGGCCAAAACGATTGTGGAAAAATTTACATAATTTGTTAAAAGGCATTCCTCACTAGAATGTGAATGTGAATTATGGCCTGCGCATGCGAGAATGCATTTGTTGGAAATCTTAGTTGGCGTAGGGATTTATGTATGTACATATGTTTGAGGATGAAGGATGCTGTCTACTCACTTGTCTGTCAGACAACCAATGTGCGCTCCTGCAAGTAGATATGATAAATGACTATTAAATATCGAAAGGACATTTAAGATCTACAGACATTTGCAAAATAATGCTGGTTAATATTTCGTTTAAATTTTTTGAATAACTTATGAGCGAAATGTACTGTAAATCTATCAGTTATTAAAGTTCAAAGTTGAATAAAGTTAGCGAATAATGATTACACCGTGTCACAAAAAAAAAGTTTTCTTGGTTCGCAAAGATGAGCTGGTATTGAAAATTCCCTGTTTAATTAAATTTATTTTTTTAACTAATAAAGTTAGAAGGACGAAAGTCGAGGATGTGATCGGGAATATATTAGTCCTTAATATATATATATATTTTTTCAAAAATAACTAGATACCTATTGCGAAATTTCTATGATATTCAAGGATCAAACTTGAACATTTTCAATACCTTTTCGTACTGATGCACAAAAAATTTCTTCCTTCTTTTTTTATCTTTTATTTGATATAGTTTTCCCCGCTAAATTGCATTTCAAAAATTGCAAAATTTTTGGTTCAATAAGAAAAGCTTATAGAAGGAATCATTTGGTGAACGCCGTTTTTCTCGAAATGGGTCAGTGACTATGGCCACCGATATGGGGTGACGCCTATTGATTACTTTCACTGGAGTTAAGCGGAGTCATTGATTTATACAACCAAACTGGAAACTTTGGGCGCCTTGGCAGACAACATTGTGGGAAACATTGCCAACACAGGGTCCGCATAGCTTTGACAAGTGATCAAAAATTGTACATCCAAACTTAGCGACTTTCTAGATACCGACGGTTAAACACCCCAAAATCCTGGGAGTGACGTTTGGCAGCCTCTGCTCCTTCTCAGCGCACGCCACAGTCTCTTGTAACAACTGCGAGCCTGGCTCAAAGACCCCGAGTCGCTAGCCGGCAGCACCATTTGGGAGCCGACAAGGAGACCCAGCGAACGATCGGTCAGTGGCAAACTCTGCAGCTCTACGTACGGGCACAGGCTGTTATCTCATCTCGTCCGAGCATCACCTCCATGAAGAAAGGCAGATATTGGCGGTGAAAGATCACAACATCATGTTATCGAAGCAATTTCTCGTGGGATGTCATCGTAGCAGCCACCCTAACAATGCTTTGAATCGTAACGAAACTCCGCCTGGTTGAGCACTGCTGTTACAACAACAAAAACTTCCTATAATATGATCCAGAACTCGCATTCGCATTCCTTCTTTTGCTTTCAGGGAACACACACACAGCGTGCTACAGCCTTTAAATGCATGATTATCCGACCATGACGTGAATAAAGGGAATCTGTAGTACAAAAGGCTTTTAGATGCATGTGTAAGGAATAGTGGGATATTGTTCAAATGATCGTTTGACATACATATGTTTGAGTACATTCTAAGCGTCCTCAAGCGTAGCCAAGATTTTGGTGTTCTATGCGCGGGGAAGCAGGAAGGGAGCGCTTGTCCGAGACAGCAGGTTACATTCGTAGGGCTCTCACGGAGGACTAGCTCCCCGTGTTGTCCGAGTGCTCGGTGTATTCAAACATTAGAGGTCTTAAGCGTGCGTGGACTATTTGGACTGATGTGTGTTTGGATGTGAGTAGGGTGTTTCCCTTTAATCGGAATGTCGAGTGTGAATGAGGGTTCAGCCCCTGGCCACCTGTTTCCAACTGTATGAACGCTCAGCTGGTGGTAGTTTCGGCTAATAAGGTTGACCGGAGATTTAATTTTGGTACCGTAAGATGCTCTTGGAACGCGATCGGACCTACTGGTGTGGGGAGTATCGTGGTGGTAGAATTGGCTTGTGTCAGCTCAATAAAGAGCTGCATTTCAACGTTCAGTGGTAAGTAAGGCAGAGATTTTAGATAGGTCTTAAGTCATACCAGGTTGGTTAATGTGTCCGTTGCTGCCAATTTGTACCGATAATGCATAAATTTCGGCGTGTGGATCAATGCATTGATTTGATCTGCGGCGCTTTTGAGCACCTTGGACTTAGGTTCACGTTTCGAAACATCTCGAAAAGCCAAGCAACCATAAACCTAAAATGATTATTTATGTGTATACTTATTTCGGCGACAGATGTGCGGCGAAACTTACTATGCTTCTAGTTGCAACAAAAAATGCCTTAGGTCGAGGCCACGCAATAAGCGGCAAAGTGGCGCAATACAGAAATGCCGCTCATAGTATTGCATATGTTTTAGTTTTAAGCCGCTCACTGTGTGGCCTCGGCCTTAATACTTTCGTTTAAGGTTATTATCATGACATTTACTTAAGTATATTTGTGTATTTAACTAAATATTTTTCAAATTACTACTACATAAATATTATCAAAAACTTTCACTACAAACCTCTTTTCATTTTTTTTTATCCATTTTCAGGTTTGGTTTCAAAACCGTCGTGCCAAATGGCGTAAAACAGAGAAATGTTGGGGACGCAGCACCATAATGGCCGAGTATGGACTCTATGGAGCGATGGTGCGCCATTCGTTGCCACTGCCAGAAACAATTATAAAATCGGCAAAAGAAAACGACTCAGTGGCACCATGGCTACTAGGTATGGAGACGGAAAGTAAATGCAAAAATTTATCATATTTACTTTTTTATTATTACTGACAATGTAGCGAGTATAATAAGAAATTAGTTAAGTAGCCTTTAAAAATTAGCATCATTTATAGGAAATTAATTTTGAAAAAAAAACCAACTCATAAAAAACAAGAAATTCTAAAATTGTGAACATATTTGAAGTGCATGACGAATTCATGTCGT